TTCAAATGGGAAGCCAGCTCTTTGTCTCGCCTTCCAACTGTCACCCTGCTGGCAGGAACTGAGGCGTCCGCTCCATCAGACCCGGAATCTCTTCTGCTCTCTGCGTGGAGGTCTGCAATCCCCGCTCCTCCCCCTGCTCTCACCTCGTCATGCCGCCCACCAGATACCTCCCACACATCCCTGCCAAGACTAATTCATGTGCCTCAGATACTCCTACTGCAAGTTTTCTTCACATTTCACAAAGCAAACAGTCCTAGCGAGCCTGGGTGGGGGTGAGGGGAGAAACATCCAATAACATCACAGAACAGCCTTAATAAAGGATTTTTGCATTTCAGGGTTCCCTGTAACGTTCACGTCGGGCATCGTCTCGCTTCATCTGGAAGGTAAGTGACTGAAAGGAGGGCCCCTCCAGAGCCACGCTCCCCAGCAGACCGTCGGGTGTATGCATCGGAGGTAGCCCCCAGAGCAGCAAAACCAGACACAGACACAAAGCTGAAGATGACTGGGGCGGGCACAGTTCACTGGCCATCCCAGCACCCACTGCCCACTCTCTTCCCTCACACAGCTTAACAGCTTGACTACAGAAGCTAAAACGCCCAAGCCTGCTTTCCTAGTCTCCCTCGAAGCTGGGGAGTAGCCACATGACACAAGTGGGGCCAAGAGAACATCAGTGGAACTTTGTTGGGGGTTTGTGGGGAAGTTCTTGCTTTCCAGGTAAAAGAAACAGTCACTCGCACTGCCCCTTCTGCTTCTTTCTGTCTTGAATGGAAATGGGATGTCTGGTGCTGCAGCAGCCATCTTGCGACCATGAGGGGATAGGCAGGAAGGAAGGGCCGAGAGAACCATCGAGATGCCAACTCAGAGCCCAATCCTGGTTCAGTCCCAGCAACTTGGGCCTTCTTGTGTGGGAAAAGTCAACTCCCATTTGTTTAAGCCACCATTAACTCGGGTTTTCCGCTACTTGCAGCTGAAAGCATTACTAACTCGTCCTTCTCTCTATGGCAGGACCTCCTCCCTGATTGAACACTATTTCTATCATATCAGGTTTTAAGGTAGATGCTTTATCTCATTTGATCTTTGAAGCTTCAAACCCATTTAATCCAAGTACCTGTTATTTGCACATCTCTACTCAACAGTCTCAGGGCCACTGCATACTCAAAAGGGTCAGGAATACGTCCCTTCCAGGACTCCCTATGGCAGTCAGTAGCATATTCATCCACTTAGTGTCCAAGTCAGGGTCCTTCTTGATGACACCATCTCCTATACACTCTCATCCAATAGATTCTCAAGTGCTACAAATTTCACCATCTGAGTATTTTCCTAACTTGCCCATCGCTCCCCACTACTCCCACCTAGTCTAAGTTATGCATGCCCAGACTACTGTAATAGCCTCTTAACTGGTCTCTCTGCATCTACACTTGCTCTTTCCACAGTGAATTTATAAAAACACAAATCTGACCGTGTCTTTCCCTTTCTTGGAGTCCTTCCGTGGTTTCCCATGGCCCCCATGATAAAGTCCAAATCCTTAAGACCTAAAAGACCTTGCCTGATCTGGCCCCTAACCCCCGGCTTCTCCAGCCCTACTGAATCTCTCCTCTTGGCTCTCTGTTTCAGTTATACTGTCATTCTTTCAGCTTCTCAAAATCATCATATACATTTCTATTTGGGGGCCACCACACACGATAGTCCCTATATGAAGGAGCTCCCCTCCAACTTTATGGCCTCACTTAACCCTTACTCATCCCTTTGCAACCCAGTGATTTTCTATTTCAGATATTGTACTTTTCTGTTTTAGATTTCCAGTTTTTTTTTTAAAATAGTTTCCATTTCTCTTCTGAGATTCACCATCTGTTCACTCATCATGAACATCTTTTCCTTTAAGTCCCAGACCATTTATGTAACAGATGTCTATGGCTTTATCTCCTAATTCTAACATCTGGGTCATCTCAGGACCTATTTATACTGGGCTGCCCCCTCTCCCTTTTTTTCTCTTGATTATGGGCCACAATTTCCTGATTTTTCACAAGTCTAGTACTTTTTTATTCTATGTGGGGCATGCAAATAAAAACCAGCCATGAAGAGAGTCTGGATTATGTTGTCTCCCTTTAAAGGTGCTGAGTTTTGTTCTGAAAGTTCCTTTCAAAACCATCAGGTTTACTTTTATTTTTTATTAAGTTGAGTCTGTTCTGATTTTGTCTTTGGTCCTAGGGTGTCATCTATACTTCTAACATATGGCCTTTTGGGGGTCTCAACTGCATACTTCTGGCTGGGCCATAACTCCAAGATCTCTGAGCACTGTGCAGTCCTCTGGTATCTGAGCTCCTCTCAGTCCCTTTGCTATCATTTTCTGTTAGGCCTTCTGGAGTCTTGCTTTTGTGCATGGGCAGCCCTCAGCCGAGGACCTGCAGTGAACATAGATTTCTGCTCGCCCCTACCACTCCCACACCACTCCCTCTTCTCTTGATTTTCAGGGCAAACCAAGTGCTGACCTCCAAAGACAGCTTTTTCAATACATCTGCACAGGAGTTCAGCAAGAACCAGGTGAATCACCATGGTAACTAACAATTTCTGCTGAACAGCTGACAATTTAAAGAATAATGTCCCTCAATTAGGTTATAACATTTCCAACTGGAGGCAGAGGTCAAAAAAGAAAGAGCTAATGAGATGGCCTTTCCCACAATGCCTATATTACAGAGTCATCTGGAGGTGACCTGGCTTCCCTCCCAGTAATGCAGTGGACCCCAACTGTCAGCAAACAGGGGCTCCCACTGCCTGGGATGTTACAGAAACAATGTCTTCAGCTTTGTTTTTCTCAATCAGTCTCTCGATATTACCATGTGCTTCAAAGGAGCAAGGCACTGTGTTAACAAGTTCTAATGAGTAGTTTTCCAAATCCATATGCTCTTCTCTGCTACATTCTGAAGAAGATATCATGGGAAAACTGCCTCATTGAAGACCTGTCTTTTGAGTGAGAAAACTGGAGGTCATATATCCATATGGCACTGGTATTGTGAGCTGGCATACTGCAGTTCTAATTCAGCCAAGTTTTGTAGTGATCAGTGGTTATTTATAACTTTGTGCTTTCTTGGCATTTAAGAAGTACAGTGTTGGATCAGACCCAAAGTCTATTTCAGCCCACTACCGTTTCTGACAGAGCACCCCAGGGGCTACTATGGCTGGGTATAACTAAACTTCTTAAGGTGACTACCACAGGGGAAGAATACCTTTTCAGATTCTGTTTATGTCCAGTCTTAAGCGAAAAACTATGGGCATAGATCAGCAAAGTGTCCCTGATTGGCTCTAGTCATTTCTCTCTGGAGTTTCAGGGAGTGATCCCTCAATTCCATATCCTGAAACTTGGTAAGCTCGGAAGGTATTTTGCAGAAGTGGTTCTGGCATACCCAGAATGCATTCTGCTCCTCAGGCTGTTGGTAATTTAATAAGTGAGCTCCCTCTTTAAATGGCTGGCTTTGCCTTCAATCCCTGAACACAGAAAAGAGCCAGAAGGCACCTTAAAAAACACCTGGTCCCACTCACTCCTCTTACGGATGAGAAAACTGAGCCTCCTGACTCACACCAGTTCACACCATTAATCAGGGACACAACAAGAGTTAAAATCAGAGCTTTGCCTCCTAGTTTAGTTTCTTTCCACTCTGGTCTTCCTTCATGGAGACCGACCATCTCGTCACTCCTTTTATTTTATTTTTTTAAAAGATTGTATTTATTTGAGACAGAGAGAGAGAGAGAGAGAGAGCATGAATGGGGGTGGAGGGGCAGAGGGAGAAGCAGATGCCCCACTGAGCAGGGAGCCCGCCCTGGGGCTCGATCCCAGGACGCTGAGGTCATGACCTGAGCCAAAGGCAGGCACTTAACCGACTGAGCCACCCAGGTGGCCCTCTTCACTCCTTTTAGATGGTCTTCTCTGGACCCTCTGGAATGTCCTACTATCTTTCTGGAGGTTTTACCAGTACTATACAGATGAAAATACTTTTTTCCTTTCTAAAGCTTTATTGCTGATATAACTGCAAATAAAGTTGAACATTTTTTGCCTTCTGTGGCAGCACAATGATTGAGTGTATTGAAAGGTCAGCAAACAATGGCCCCCAATGACCCCCAGGTGCCATTCCTGACTTATTTCTAAAACATCCAAACCCCTCGCCCTCGCAATGAGTGATCCGGAGGCTCATGTGCTTCCAGTCTGCACACCCACGGCTCCAAGAGCCCTTCCTAGAGTTTATTCCCAACGGTGAGGCTCCAATACCCAGAAGACCTTGGTGTTGCCTCCCAGCACAGGCAGCATTATGGGGGGGCGGGTGGGGGCACCAGGTGGATACTCACCTTTGCATAAGCAGTTGTCTTAATAAACCACTGTCGGAGGTACTTCTGCTCCACCTTTGCTCCCGAACGCCACGAACAGCCATGTTCATCCACCTGCTCATTGGCAAGCACTGTTTGATCCACTGGGTCCCAGTTAACCAAGGCCTGTTATAAGTCATAGAAGAAAATGATGCCATCTGGTGAGCATATGGAATAGGGTCATCTCGAGGTTCCTTACATATGAGAGGGTCTGCAAGTGCAGTATCTCTGCTCGGAGACTCGAGGGCATCTCCTTGGGAGGACTACTGGGCAAAGAAACCACCAGCACATTGTAAGAAAGGACAGAACACACGAACCACCTCTGTGCTTTCATCTTAGAGCAGGCTTGAGAGGGAGCCCATGAGCATGTGCCTGATCAAGTCTGGTATCTTCTGGTGTGAGAGGATGAACCTGCAGGATTGGGGATTTTAGTAAGCAGAGGAAAAGGGAAAAAAATGGTACCTGGAACTCAGCAGAATCAGGTTATTTAAGGGGAAACAAATATATTTATTTGAATATAAATAACTAACATTTATTGAGTGACTACCACACACCAGATGCTGTGCTAAGGGCCAAACTAAGGTTGGCTCTTCTAAGCCACATTAAGAGGTAAGAATATTATTATTATTATTACTATTACTACTACTTGTAGCAAGAATTACTATCAAACTCCACTCATTGGGCCAGAGACCCTTGTGGTGTTAGCAAAAGACTTGCCCCTCATGTAGCACACCACCTACGTTTTGTGAGTTTATCGGCCGGCCAGTGGAGGCGAGAATATTACTGCCTCAGTGTTACAGAGGAGGAAGTTGAGGAACAGAGAGATTAGATAACTTGTCTGAGGTCACACAGTAAGTGAGAGAAAGGGCAGGAACTCAGGTCTCTCGAAATTATACAAATTTTTGCAACTTTTAAAAACTCCTGTTTTTGTTTTGTTTTTAAAGACTGATTTATTTATTTGAGAGAGAGAGAGAGTGTGTGTGTGAGTGTGGGGGTGGGGAGGCAGAGGATTCTGCAGAGGCAGAATCCCAAGCAGACTCCCTGTTGAGCGTGCAGCCCGACACGGGGCTCAATCTCACCACCCCGAGATCATGACCCGAGCCAAAATCAAGAGTTGATGCTTAACCGACTGTGCCACCCAGGTGTCCCTAAAAACTCCTGTTTAAATTACGGTAAGAACATACAGAGAGTAATGTGGATCAATCAGAAGTATACAACTTCACAAATTTTTATCATCACTCATCATCAAGATACAGAACATCCCCAGCACCCCAGAAAATTCTGTTGCACCTTCTCCTAAATCAGTATCTGCCCCTGAAAAGATAACAATATTCTGAGATATATCCCCAGAGACGTGTCCAGCTGACTGAACCATAATGGTCTTAACCATCAGGAAGCTTCTCTCCAGAGTTCTAATCCGTTTCTGCCATCATTTAAAAGAAATACCTCTGCTGTCAATGCTCATTCCTTTATGACATTAAGGTAAAACTTAGGACAAAGAAGGCAATGAATACAAATGAATACCATGACTCCAAAGAAGGAGATGTGTCCAGGCACTAAAATATCCTGATTTGATACACGTTGTTTTGTTTTAAGATTTTATTTATTTATTTGTCAGAGAGAGAGACAGAGACAGAACAAGCAGGGGGAGCGGCAGGCAGAGGGAGAAGCAGGCTCCCCGCTGAGCAGGGAGCCCGATGCGGGACTCGATTCCAGGACCCTAGGATCATGACCCGAGCTGAAAGCAGACACTTAACCGACTGAGCCACCCACGCGTCCCGATACACGTTGTTTTTTAAAATTTTTTTAAATAACAGGTGCCTGGGTGGCTTAGTCAGTTGAGTAGCCGAACCTTGATTTCGGCTCAGGTCCTGATCTTGGGGTCATGGGATCAAGCCCAGGTCAGGCTCTGCCCTCAGCAGGCAGTCTGCTTGAAGATTCTTTCTCTCCCTCTCCCTCTGCCCCTCCCCCTGCTCACGCACAAGCACTCTCTCAAATAAATAAATCTTAAAAAAATTTTTTTTTAAATAAATAAAATTTTACTAAGCAATTCTAAGAAGAGATTATGTCGAGCATTGCCCATTTGCCCCTCCAAATCCTCTTTCCACCCTGGTCTGCACCGCAGGCAGCTGATCTCTGCGCCTGAATTCACCTGGACCCTTGCGCTATACCTGCGCTCAACCAGTGAGAGGCACCCTGACATCTTCCCAGTCGGGCTGTGTCTGGCGGTCCCAAAGGCCATGCAGCCTCTGCCACACAGGCCTCTGCTACTGCTCTCCCAGTTCCAATAACGGCCCCTTCAGCCTGGGCTGGCAAAGGCCTCCCTCTGTGGCCAGCGCCAGGGGCTTGACCACTCCTTGTGGGTTTCCCTAAACTCTGCACAAAATCAGTCCTTTCATCATATTTTCTTCAATAACTGCTTTCGGGTGTGCCCTTTATTTCCTGCGGAGACCATGACTGATCTAGAGATACAGCTAAAAATCAGGAGTGGAGGACAGACTAACCCATCTATGGGTTGTGCTTTTATAACTAAAACATAGTACAACCATGAAGAACTGAAGCCTGCAGAGCACAGAGGCGGACGGGGAAAGGTATGCACTGACAGACGTTCTCCCTCTCATTCCACAGTCCCCGAAAACCTCGAATCCATAAATATAGAGAGACAAAATATAAGACAAAAGTATCTTAGATCTAAAAACTTAAGGTCAATAAACTAAGGATCACTGCCTATATTAGGGGTTACAGGGAGGGCTACCACTTCATGTAAAAGATAAGGGGCGCCTGGGTGGCTCAACTGGTTGAGTGTTGACTCTCGGTTTTGGCTCAGGTCATGATCTCAAGATAGGGCTCCACACTCAGCAGGGTGTCTGCTTGAGAATTCTCACTCTCCCTCTGCCTCTCCCCCACTCACATTTCCCCCCTTTCGCTTAAATAAATAAAACTTTAAAAATGCAATAAAAGATAAAATGAAAGGGCCAAGTATTATTTAGGAACACGGACAGGTCTTTCAAGAGCCCCCATCCCCCCAAAAAAGACGTACAACTAAAACTGTATAAAATAGAGAAGAAAGAAAGAAAGAAAGAAAGAAAGAAAGAAGAAAACCTCCGAGGATATGGGAGAAGTAAACAGCACTGCAGATCGCAAAAACAAATAGGACTCTATTTTCTTATCGACATTTCCCACACAGCCTGGCATCTCGCAGACTCTAAGTTACAAAATACAATGAGGGAGATGTGCTCCGAAGAGGTTTATACGTTCTAATGAAACCCTGGTATTGAATGAAAGACAAATAAAAGCAAAACCAATTTTGCCCCCTGTGAAAGTCTTGTGGGGAAGAGGAAAAGCACCAAAGGAAATAGCATCTCAAATAAAAAATGTATCAGCTGGGAGAACCCATTGACGTTTCTTCCCAGGACAACGATCCAGCCCATCCCCAGACCTGCAGGGTTCAGGTGCAGCCTCTCCACAAGTGGTTAATCCAGGGGGTGGGCCAAATGCAGGGCCACCGGGGTCCTGGGTGTGTAGCGTGTGCAACCTCGTGAAGTCCCCAGGACCTGCTTCCCAAATCCCTTTTCTCGGGTCTCCATTCTTATAAAAGCCTCTATCATATGGCCTCCCTTGAAACCACGGTCTTCTCTTACCCAACATTCCTGGATCTTCTCGTCTTGAACATTGACTTTGATGGACACCCTGATTTCTACTCAAGCGCAGTCTGGCTACCTTTAATATCGTTTCGGGACAATGTCCCTGACTACAGTCATTTCCTTTCCTTTCCTGGCTGACCTTTGTTTGCCATCACCTACTAAAGCCACCTCTGTGTTCCCTTGGAGTTAACTAGCCTTATTTGTAAAACATAGCCTGTAGCCGTATTTCGAAACCAACCTTAAATCACTAAATGAATAAATCAGTCCACGAAATCATGAAAACACCTGCAAACACACTGAACTCTGGGAGATTCCGCCCACTGCTTCCCTCACTTAAGCTATCTGGCAACATCACAGAATGAGCCGTTCCAAATGAGAGAATTTCCCCAGCTGATCAGGGGTTAAATACCAGGATTCATATTTTTTGTTTGTTTGAGTGATTTGTGGGAAGCTTTCAGAAAGGCTTTTTGAAATGTGCCCTGGGAAACAATCATAAACCTCAGTCAGCCAGTGCACAAGGGTGACGGTGGGTGTCCCAACATTTCTGCCCCCTTCTCCCTTCCCTTCTTGGCCTGTAGGTTCTCAGAGGTGTGGGCGACTATGGGCTCTGTTGGGGATTCTCAGGGTATTTTCATCTTGAATTCTCATTTATCAATTCTCTCTGTGACACAGCAGCTGTGTGGTGCCTACTGCCCCGGTGAGCCTCCTGTTCCAAACCTCCTGCTTTATCTCATCCTCCCGCTTTACTTGGATCCTCCTTCCCCTTCTTTCCCTGGGCCTCACCCTTTACCTAGAGCGCCAGTCCCTTCTAGATCACACCTTCCATTAGCAGGCTTTTGTCTCCTGGAAACCACTCCTCAGGCCTTTGGCTACTCTCCATCGTTTTCCATGCCGCTTATTCCTTGGGCTCTGCTTTTATACTACCAAAAACCTTTCCTGAGTATGCTGTGAGGCAGCTGCAGGTTCCAGAAGGATGTTTTAGGGTATTGATTTTCTCAAGGTCCATTAGCATTTTTCCTGACAAAACCACGCCTCATTAAGGAACACCACATAGATATTATTAAAAAATCAAACTCTCAAAATCCATCTTGCTCTATTCTATCCAGAATGGACCTGAGTTTGGACTGAGTCCGGAGGGGAGGGTTTCCAAGGCAACCGGTTATTTACTGCTACTACCTTCCACCGCCACGAGGGGGCAGAGCGGGAGAGGCAGCCCGTGTGTGCACACAGCGTGTGGTCCTGTATGCTCCCGGAACCTCCCTGAGGAACCTCCGCGAGGAACCTCCCCGAAAGCGAGGTTTTGCTGCAAACCTAAGCAGTGCATTATTTCCGTCCCCAGCTGCCTCTGAAATCATGCAGGAGCCCAAAGGCAAATTCACAGATTAGGTGGCTTCCACTATTCCCCACAACGCTCAAGCATAACAGTACCCTCCCTAACTACCTCCACCACATCATTTTTTTTTTTTTTTAACCAGAGAGGTGAAATTAATGTTCTGCCAAGTGGAGGTCTTTATATTCATAGTTTTGGCTGAAAATACTTTTGTTTCGCGAGAGCAAGAAGAGATTCCGTTTGCAAAGGAAATGAGCATTTGATGGACGGCTCTAGTTAAGGACAAAAGACTTCAACACTCCATCTATGTTTGGTAATGCTCTGTTAAAATACTCTCCCCAAATGTAAGTTCATTTAGACAGCTTATACCAGAACTGAATTTAAGGGTTAAGGCTATCTCCTGTTTCAAAAAAAGTTATGACAATGCTGTTAGAGGAAAGGCATTAATAGGTGGGTTATTTTTGGCTTAATATGCCTCACAGAGAATGTTACCAGCAGTCTTTCTAGAGTCAATTAACCTTCTGATGTTAATTTCAAAAGTATGTATTTTGAAATAAACCTGTGAATGGAATACCAACTGACATCAATTTGTTTTATGTTTTAAAGCCAATTTGGAAATAGCTATCCAATAAAAGGAGACCTACATGGAATAGAATACCGTGGATATCCACTTCAAACAACATACCAAGTGTGCATTTCTTGCATTCTATTTATGAGTTTTTTCTTAAGATCATGACTTGGCGGACTCAAAAAAAATTAATACACCAGAAACCTTTCAGGCAACAACTAGCAACAAAAACACTACCTTTCTAAATGAAATCCATAAA